AGAAAGCATTTATTGAACACAACGTATATTAAATACCTTGTAGGCCCTGTGGGCATACTTGTAAAATTTTAGAGATGATTTAAACTTTAGAATTCCACCTCCTTAGAATTCTTTATCTATTGCTCCTCCCATACTTTCCCCAAAAGTAAACAATTCTATTTCCCTTCACCTTTGGACCCCTCTCCTAGGTGAAAATATACATTAAATTTTTACAAGTGTGTGCAGAAATAGAAGTACAATGATGTACACCTGAAATTTTTACAATGCTATAAACCAATGTTACTGCAATAAACAAAAAATTAAAAAAAAAATTTTTACAGGTGTGGAATGAAGAATTCTCTAAGCATGACCCAAAGATGAAAAACCATAAAGAAAAACATAAAACTTCTCTATGTCAACCACACACTCACAAAGATACAAACACATGCCTGTAATCAAACTCAAAGACACATAAAAAGCTTTGAGAGACAAAAGGGTAAAAACATGCCTCAGGGTTCTTCAGCCGAAGGCCACCAGGAGCACACCTGTGGGCAAACAAACTGGGTTTATTATTCGTTGCTGTGAGGCAGAACACACACCACTGGGGACCACAGGGTGTCTTAGTGTGAAAGTGTTAGAACATATATAAGATTTAAGCTTTGGTTGGGTGATTTTCGGGAGGGTCAGTGGAGGCAGGGGCTCACTCTAGATTAGGTGTTGTCAGGAAGTGGGAGCAATTCTATGACTGGGCATCTCAATAAATCTTGTCAGTAGACAGGACCGACTAGAGCAAGGATAAAGCTATAATTGGAAAGAAGCAGTGGTCACTCATATGAGCCAGCACAGGGAGATGTTTGGTATTTTGTGAGTTGCATAGTGCCTTGTTTTTGTGTGTGCTTAGACAAAGTGATGTAGTCGGCTTGTTTTGTCTCACTTTGTCATGGTCTCAGAGTGTCCTTGTCTGATGTGGATGTTCTGTGAGGTGACTTCTGTCCAACAGAATGACATGCCAAGTGGTGAGCACCGGGCCAGCTTCTGACAACACTGAGGCCTCAGTGTAAGTGTCAGACCTGTTCCCCATGTTGGGGCTTCTTTTTCTTCTTTCTAAATTCAATATTTTAAAATAACTGAAATTCAATAAAAAAATAAAGAATATTAGAAAACAATTTGGAAAAGAAGAAATGACAGTGCCAAACAAATATATTAGTGATAAATAAATGTAAACGAAAATGAGAACGTGAATAAGAAATGAGAATTAAAATTAAAATCTATCAGCTGACAAAGATGAAAGTAAATGATGAGAGTATTTACCAGAGGTTAGGGAAAATATATTGTCATAAAGATTGATATGATTGAAAACTGATAGCAAATCTCTAAAGGGCCCTTTTGAAGAATGTCTCAACAGTTTAAATGTGCTTACCTTTTTTTTTTTGAGGAAGATCAGCCCTGAGCTAACATCCATGCCAATCCTCCTCTTTCTGCTGCGGAAGACCGGCCCAGAGCTAACATCTGTTGCCAATCCTCCTCCTTTTTTTTTCCCCCCTTTTTCTCCTCAAAGCCCCAGTAGATAGCTGTATGTCATAGTTGCACATCCTGCTAGTTGCTATATGTGGGACGCCGCCTCAGGATTGCCAGACAAGCAGTGCATTGGTGCGTGCCTGGATCCGAACCCGGGCCGCCAGTAGCGGAGCGCGTGCGCTTAACCGCTAAGCCACGGGGCTGGCCCCTGTGCTTACATTTTGATGTAGAAATTTCTTATTTAGGAATTTATTCTGAGAAGATAATCATGCATGTTCTCAAAAATATGTATTCAAGGATGCTTGTTGAATTATGGTTTATAAAAGCAAAGAATGAAACATCTAAGTGATGTAATGAGTATAATGATGGCAACTATGAAAAGAGGAACACTCGTCTCAGGCAATGATGCCATGGTTTACATACAGGGTCAAATTTAATTCTCAAAGCAAACCCATGAGGCACCAACATGTGATCCCTTTGTACAGACAGGGAAAGGGAGACTCAGAGAGGTTTAGGAGGTGCTGGAGCCAGGGCTGAACCCAGGGATTTTCTCTCAGAGCTTTGTTGACTCGTCTTCCATTGGTTCCCTGTCCAATGTT